TTTTGGATGCTATTGTGAAAAGGATTGTTTCTCTAATTTCTCTCTCTGTGAGTCTGTTATTGGTGTATAGAAAGGCTACTGATTTTTGAGTGTTGACTTTGTATCCAGCTGCACTACTGAATTTGGTTATCAAATGCAGAAGTCTTTTGGTGGAGTTTTTGGGGTCTTCTATGTAGAGTATCATGTCACATGCAAATGATAATTTAACTACTTTTTCCTATCCTTATTCCTTTCATTTCTTTCTTTTGTCTAAATGCTCTAAGTAGTGTTTCCAAAACTATATTGAACAAGAGTGGTGACAGTGGACATCTTTGTCTTGTTCCTGATTTTAGAGTAAAAGCTTTCAGTTTTTGACAATTTAGTATGATGTTTGCTGTTGGTTTTTCTTTTTTAAATTTTTTTTTAAGGTTGTAGGGTGTTCATAGGTGGCTCTTATCTGACTGAGATAAAGACCATCTACACCAACTTTCTGTAGGATTTTTATCATGAATGGATGTTGGATTTTGCCAAATGCTTTTTCTGTATCTATTGAGAGGATCATAGTTTTTGTCCTTGGCTAATATAGTGTATTACATTTATTGACTTGTATATTTTGGACTATCTGATTAACTGCAATCCTCTCTTCTATATCTGATATTGTCCTCACATTGGCTCATTCTATGTATACATTCAGTGGGGCTTTTAATCTCCTAGATATGTTTGAATCTGCGTCAGGAATTCCATTTCTTTCCTATGCTTGGCATTCATGGTTTCCATTATGTTTCTGAACTGTTCTTTTTTTTTTTTTTTAATCTGTATCTGCTCTAGAGTCACTAAAGCATGTCTTTCATTTTGGTCATCATGTCTATAGTTATCTGGGAATTATTTTTTCTTCTGTTTCCCTCTGTCAAGTTTGCCTTCACACACAGACCAGATTTGCTCAGCTGTTTTTCCTCCATCTTGGGCCATGTTCCTTTTCAACTGCCTATCACTCTCTACCTGACTTAAACAGCCATAGCAGTGCTGGGCGCTCACTGGCCTCGGGGCTGGTCTCCACCTCAGGGCTGAAGTACACAGGCCCACATGCAGCGCCAGCCTCAGGACTGAGGGTTTACACACGGGGCAACATTGTGCCTCACCAGGGTGTATGGAGACACAAGGCCACGGCACAGCTTCTGCTACACAGCTAGGCTTGAATCTCAGCCATTGTGAGGGGAACTTTACCTTTGTAGGAGTCAGGACTGCCCCAAATACCTGCAGACACTGTCTCTAAAGCACAGCTCATAAGAGGGCGCTTAGCAAATCAACATCCAAATAAAAAAACCAAGGTAGATGAGTATCTCATGAATTATTCTGCCAACACATAGAAAATATCTCTTTTCTCAACATATTATTTAGAAAATTAATCCTTTCCTTCTCTGATTTGATTTAGACAGTATTTGGAAACTTTAACTTGGTTTCACAGACTAAACCTTAATTGGACACTAAGTAAAATTTATGAATGATAAATTAACATTAAATGTTTTTTAACATTAAATGTCAATGAAAAACATTACATTATGTTTTTACATCAGACATCCAATGTCTGATGACAATGGATTTAAATTAAGTATATTATCTTACATCTCACTGACACCAAATAATCAACTGTCACAGGGCTATAAAAAAAATTCTAGGTGGTGTAAGGGAGAGCAGTGGGCTGGATGGATATGATCAACATAGATATATGTATTGACACCAAATTTTGCAAAGTTAACTAACAATGGAAAAATTAAAGAGAAATAATAAAATCTAGCTTTTGTTTTCTTTTTTTTTTGGTACTGGGGATTGAACTTAGATCCTTGGGCTTACAAAGGCAGGTAGCAGAACCACTGAGCTAAATCCCCAGCCCATAAAATCTAGCTTTTGGAGAAACCAAGAAAATGGATGTTATTTACTCAAGTCCAATAAAGAAAAAATTGGAAATGAAAAACTCTAAGAACATTAGGTAAAAGAACATACACTGAACAGTTACAAAGGTGACCTTAAAACCATCATGTCCATCCCAATGTATTTTTACAACAAAAATTCTTAGCAAATCTGACTCAAATATAAAAGGAAAAAATCATGCACTGAGCTGTTAGCACGCTTTTCATATTTTCTTTTCAGACAAGTTCTCACTAAGTTGCCCAGGCTGGTTTCAATCTTTTGATCCAGCTCTCCAAGGATGTAGGATAACAGACAGGAGACACTGGGGCCAGCAAGCTTAACTGATGCCAAGATGGTGGCTAAATAAATGTGCTCAAGATGAATTATCTTCTACTTTCACCATTTCATCTCTGGCTGGAATAGCACTATGCACTATGCAAATTTCTCATGACAGTAAGAATCAGAAATGAGCTAATGTGATATTAGCCACCTGCTTAAGGGTGTAAAAACTGACACTGTATCCCGCAGTTTAGTATATTTCATGAAGTACATGAGACATGTCATATTTCATTACAAAATAGATACTTTGATTATTTTGGCCACTTCATGTCTAATTTAAGTGTCTAAGCATAATTAGTTTAGGATAAGGCATATTGTTCAGTACATTATGAGTCTTTAATACATTTGTCACTTATGTTTTCACTTTCCATAGGATTTATAGAATGTAACCCCTGGGGAAGTTGAACAGCTTCTGTACTCATGGGAAAAATAATCTGGAATGCTGTACAAAACCTTCAGTGTTAAGGAGTAAGAAAGGAAAAATGACTCAAGGATTCCAGAGTTGGCCTCACACTGACAGCTTTTACAAGTCTTATATGGTTGAAGGCATGTGTCACTCACCTCAATCATCAGTGGTCCTTACTGGTAATTTAAAAAAGGACATTGACTAAACTTATTTCAAAACATGGAAAAAACAACACAATCTAAATAAAAAAAAATTAGTAAAATCCCCCCTTTTAAAAATTGTCTATTTTTCATGATTTATATTTTTCTTCATGCTGTTATTTGAATTTTTCAGGTGAAAAGAAAACAAAATAATTGCTAAAGATCAACTGGTATTTGCAACATCAGGGAACTGAATAAAGGATTCTGATTCATTTCAAATATTAGGTATTAATTCTCCTCAAACTTTAACCCTGTCAAAATTCCTTTGAGTATGTTCTTACTGAGAAACCATGCCACCATTCTTAGTTTGTGGAGAGACTAATTAGTAAAAGTCATTAGATCCTATTTGAGAATAGTTATGGTGCTGCTGGTCTCTGGCACTGGGAGACTCACATTAGTATATTTTTTGGTATAACTGATGGAAAAATTACTACCAATATGAATATAAAAACTCATATGAAAAACACCTAAAATTTTATACATGTGATAATATGTAATGGTTCCTGATATCAAAGAAAAACAGGCAAAATTATGTAATGGGTATAATCTGTAATTAAGTTGAGATATATATATATATATATATCTTCACAGGATATCAAAAACAATATTTACTAATCTATATGTTGTTTGAAAAGGGGTGAACTCTGTCTAAAACACATGTACAGAAGACTTTTAAAAATGCATAACAGGCCAGGGATTTAGCTCAGTGGTGCTACCATCTGCCTTGCAAGCATAAGGTCCTGAGTTCGAACCCTGGTACAAAAAAAATCATCATACTAAAATATGACCTCTAATTTAAGAATTCTTTTGCTAAAAATTAAAATGGAGGGTATACACTAAGAATTTACATCGAATCTAATAAGGCAATTAACAAAAGTTCAGTTTTTAGTGCCCTATTACCCTACAATTTCTAAAAATAAAACAAAAAAAAAATCACTCTACAAAAATACTAAGCCCACTGGCATATAAAGAAATATATTTCTTTGCTTATGGATCTATCATAGTGCAAAATGAAGAAACAATAACACCATTAGATTTGTTTAAAAGGTAACACTAAGCTCTAGCATTATTAAATAAACAAGCAGAATTATGTCAGCACATTTATTCTTAAAAGTGAACTTTCAAATATGTACTTGAGACCTACTTTAAGAATGAGTGACAGATAAACACAGTAGATTTATCCTTTAGGAGACCTCCTTTGTTTGTATGTTTTCTGCAGAATTCTACACAGAAATAATTGACATCACATTTTCAATTATCCTGTATGAGTTTGTAGTACATGAGAAATGTTCCAAAGATTTTGGTTCTATGACTTATAATTGAGAACCTTGCACACTCACAGGGCTTTGATCTAACCTGCTTTATTACTTATGTACATCCTGTATACAGTTGGCTCATCACAATTCTGTGTTCATTTGCAATATGAATAAAACCAAAATGACTAGATGTGTTCCCACACAATATACACTGACATGGGTTTCTCGACAATGCAATGTTTATATAAAAAATCATGCATAAATGAAGACTTCTCACATTCTTTATATTTAGCCTGTGAATCTGTTCATGTTTTCTGAGCTTGGGGAAAACAAAAAATGATTTCTCACATTTTCTACATAGGGTTTCTCTCCAGTGTGAGTTCCTTCACGCATGTCAAGGTAACCGGAAGAACAAGGGTCTTCCCCAAGGATTACATACATATGGCTTCTCACCCATGTGAATTCATTCACAGATGTGAATGCATTGGAAAAAATATAACCTTTTTCAGAGGGTTCAAATATGTTCAGATTTTCTCCACTATGAATTCCTCCACATATGTAATGATAGCTGTCTGTACTGAAGATTTTCCTTATTCTCAAGAAAAGGCTTCCCTGCACTGTGAATCCTTTCCCATCAGTGTCATATTACATATTAAGTTAATTGATGTCTGCAACTTTTTAATATGTATCATGAGAACTGGAATAATGGAAGGCTTTCCCAGATTACTTACAAACATAAGGTTGCTCCACAGTGTGAGGTCTTTCATGTATTTGACAGTAACTGGACACTGAATGCTTTCCCACACTGCTTGCATACATACAGTTTCTCTTGAAAGTGAATTCTTTTATGTCTTCAAAAATCACCGTGACTGGTGAAAGCTTTTACTCCGTGCTTACACATAAATGATTTTTACAAAGTGTGAATTCTTTTATGTTTATAAAATGAACTGTGATAAGGAAATGCTTTCCCACATTGCTTACATACATAGGGTTTCTCTCCAGTGTGACTTATTTTATGTCTACCAAACGAACTGCTAGAGGGAAAGGCTTTCCCACACTGCTTACATACATAAGGCTTCTCTCCAGTGTGACTTCTTTCATGTGTTAGACGACCAGTGCAAGTGGTGAAAGCTTTTCCACACTGCTTACAAACATAGGGTTTCTCCCCAGTGTGAGCTTTTTCATGGGTTTTACAATAACGCTGAGAAGTAAATGCTTTTCCACATTGCTTACATACATAAGGTTTCTCCCCAGTGTGAGATTTTTCATGGCTCTTACAATAAGTTTGAGTGGTAAATACTTTTCCACATTGCTTACATACATAAGGTTTCTCCCCAGTGTGAATTCTTTCATGGATTTCACAATAACTGTGACTGGTAAATGCTTTTCCACAGTGCTTACATACATAAGGTTTCTCTCCAGTGTGAGTTTTTTCATGGATCTTACAATAAGTTTGACTGGTAAATGCTTTTCCACATTGCTTACATACATAAGGTTTCTCCCCAGTGTGAATTCTTTCATGTATTTTATAACTGCTGCTACCGGTAAAAGCTTTCCCACAGTGCTTACACACATAGAGTTTCTCCCCAGTGTGAAGTCGTTCATGGGTTTTACAGTAACTGCGAGTGGTGAAAGCTTTCCCACAGTGCCTACACACATAGGGTTTCTCTCTAGTGTGACTTCTTTTATGTTTTTTACAATCATCTCGTGTGATGAAAGTTTTCCCACACTGCTTACATACATATGATTTTTCTGCACTGTGAATTCTTTCATGTACTTGACAATGAATCTTTTTCCTGAAGGCTTTCCCACATTGCTTACATGCATACGGTTTCTCCCCAGTGTGAATTCTTTCATGGGTTTTATAATTGCTCTTGCTTGTGAAAGCTTTCCCACACTGCTTGCATATATAGGGTTTCTCCCCAGTGTGTGTTCTTTCATGCATTTTATAATGGTATTTACTTCTGAAAGATTTGCCACACTGCTTACATACATAGGCTTTAACTTTTTCTTTAGATACAAAGGGCTTCTCTCCAATGTGACTTCCTTCACTGCAATGAGAGTAGGATTTCCCACATTGCTTATATTCACGGGGCTTCTTTCCAGGACTTGTTGTTGCACGCTTCTGAAAGGAGCAGAAATCACTGCAGGTTTCCCCATGTTCATTATAGGTAAACAGCTTCACTTCCAATACCTGATTCTCACATGATTTGAGTGCACTGTGAGCTCTGATGGGCACATTTGTTGATGCATGACCAATCAGGGAATTTCTACAGGCAAGGCTTTCCGCTGGGTGTGCACCAAGTGTTTTCATGTTCACATTAGGGTCTGGAGTCCAAAAAGATGTTTCTCTATGTGGATCCCATAAGTTATATTGGCAGCATTTCTCTACATCTTCACTTCTATAATAGAAAAAAAATAATAAAATAATGACATTTAAAAGTTTCTCCTTATTAAGAATTCACCAGGAGCAGAGCTGGTATGGTGCCCCTTAGAATATGTGACCATGAATTTAATGTACACTCTGCAGGATGGATTGAAAACAGCTTTCACTAAAACAGCAGTATTCATTAGAGAGCTTATAACTGACGTGTTTACATTACATAACATTTACTTTCTTTTGGAAAATTAGTATATATGTAAACTATGTATTTATTTGTGATGCTCTTTCCTCCATGACACTACTGCAGCTCCCTTTAACTGAATCTCTTTGCCCTCTACAAAATGTCTGCTTTGCTTTTTATTAACATCTCTCCTTTACTGTACTCCTTATTTTATACTGGGTTTCTCATAGAAACTATACGATGTGATCTTGAAGTTTCTGTGTCTTACTTATTTCACTTAATATTATGAGCTTGAAATCCATCTACTTTTTGGAAAATGAATCATTTCATTCTTGTTAATTGAATACAATCCCATTATGTATACATACTTCAATTTTTCAGTACTAGTGATTTCACCTAGTGTCTTAGCACCAAGTTACACCCTTAGTCTTGTTTTCTTTCTATTGTGAGAACTCTCATTAATTATTAACATTCCCAGGCTGAGCATGAGTGTGATCTTTCTGCTTCAGCTTCCCACAGTACTAGGATTCCAAATATGCACCATCATCCCTGGACTACCTTATGGATTTTTAATTCATCTGTGGATGGGCATCTACCTTGTTTCTGGAGATTAGCTATTGTGAGGTGTGCTGGTACAAACATGGATAGGCATATAACACTATAATATGATTATTAAATTATTGGAGAAAAGTTCCCTTGGGTTAAATGAAGGTTCTGTTTTTAATATTCTGTGGAATCTCTATAGACATTTCCATAGAGATTTCACTACAGGACATTCCAACAGTATAGGAAAATGCCTTTTTATAATTTTAGAGTAAGAACAGACTAAATGCAGTAGAAAATTGACAATAGCTCTTATCAAAACAAGTGGGATTCATTTCAATTTTTACAAGGTTAGCAATTTTGCAAATAATGAATGTGTGTACCACATTTAAATACAGATAGCATTTCTTAAATGAATTGTTTGATATGAAAGTGATCTTTAGAAAATACATGTACACATAATTAAGATACCCTGAATCCGGGTCCTAGCTTAAACATAAAATTTACTTCGTATACACCTATAGCCAATGCTTAGATTTAATTTCATACAATATTTTTATAATCTTGAGTATGGAACAAATATCTACTTATTCTCTGACTCCTGAGGCCATTACATTTTTTTTTTTGTTTATTTGTTTGCTTTTTTGAGACAGAGCCTCACTGTTTATTCTGGGCTGGACTGGAACTCGCTATGTAATCCAGGCTGGCCTTGAACTCACAGCAAGTCTCCTGCCTCAGCCTCCTGAGCTGATAGGGCTAAGAGGTGTGGGCCACCACCCTCAGCTCATTACTTTTTTAGTACAAATTACCTTAGATTTCTTCTCCAATATTTGCTACCATTTTCCTTTTGCTGGTCAGTCCAGGTGTGTTCTGAAGTGTAGAAACAGAAATATAATGATGTGTTAATAGATTATTAAAAATTAATAGATTTCAGATACATTCATGGTATTATATAACTATGTGAGGAATATTCTTCAAAATGCATTCATATTCTAACAAATGAAACTTCACCAATAAGCAAGAAGCAGGGCTCTCTAAGTATACAAGTTAGAAAATGATTATCTTCCTTACCTATAGCAGACATGTTCTTCAGTGTCTCCAACATCACATCTCTGTAGAGCTTCTTTTGGGATGGGTCCAGCAAATTCCATTCCTCCAAAGTAAAGTTCACAGCCACATCCTCAAAGGTCACTGCCTCCTAAATCATCATACATACATTTCCAAGAAAAAGACTGAGCCTCACAGCACAGAACATTTCAACTCCACTCATAAACAGCTGAAATGATGTTGAGTCCTTTACTCCACGTTTTGTCATCAACACTTATCTTTAGCATATGCACACAACACACAGGAAATCTAATGCCAGATTGCAGTCCATTGCTAAAGCAACAGAATGGCAACACTGGTTTTCCTGCTGGTTGGATCCAGTCTTATCTGTACAGTGTCTCTAAAGCATGGCTCACAGAGGGTGCTTGCCAAATCAACATCCAAAGAAAAAACCAGGGTACATGAGTATCTAATGAATTATTCTGCCAACACATACAAAATATCTCTTTTCTCAAATTTTTACATAGAAAATTTATCCTTTCCTTCTCTGATTTTATTTAGCCACAATTTGGAAACTTGAACTTGGTTTCATAGACTAAACCTGAATTGGACAGTAAGTAAAATGAATGAATGAGAAATTAAAATGAAACGTTAATTAGAAACATTACATTATTTAACAATGTCTAATGACAATGGATTTAAATGAAGGAAAGTATATTATCTTATGTCTCAATGACACCAAATAGTCAACTGTCACAGGGCTACAGAAAAATTCTAGGTGGTACAAAACACAGGAATGGGGTAAATGGATATGAAATATATGTATTATATGTACTGACACCAAATTTAGCGAAGTTAATAATGGAAAAATTGAAGAAAAGTTTTTCTCACTTCCAAATCATATTTTTGATTTGTCAGTTAAATTATATGTGTTCAGTATAATAAATGTTAAATAATGTTCAATAGTAAGCAGGATGTTGACAGTTTGCCTAATATATAAGAAAGAAATTAAAAATCTGCTATTTTGGACGCTGTACTCTTAGTAGAGTGAATGACATATAGATCACAGAAAATGAGGACAGTCTTCAATGGCTCATGTATAAATAGAACACTGATTCATGATGGAGCTGTTAGTGTACAAAGGGACAGAAATGACAATCTGGTTAACACAGTACCTAGGGAGACACAGAACATATATTAACACATGTATTTTATTCTCCATATTCCATGAACAATAATGAATTTACATCTTCAAATGGAAAAATGAATATATTTTGAAAGTGAAAAAGTGTTTCCTCAGTAGGAAATCCACAAGCCATCAGAAATAGAGGGACAACTGAAGACTATGTCAACCATGGGATGTAAAAGATAAGAAATTTTAAAAATTTGCAGGTTGGTGTACAGAGTGTCAAAATTAACACATAAAAAATGAACAAAACACACATAACTCAAGAGAAAACACTAATATAAAACAGGATCCATGATCTTGGTTAAGAAAATAATTAAAAGAAATGGAATTGTGGAAAGACACAACTAGTAAATAGATGTATGTAAGAACAGCAGATCAAATGCTATCCTCCATTGCCATTTCCTCTACTTTGGAGTATATGGAAACCTACAGACCAGTGACTTTAATCTAATTTTCAGAAAATACATTGTGCTGTTGTTCCTGGGAGAGATATGATTCTTTTCACAGCAATGAAAAGTAAACTTGAGACAACTTCAACCATGTGACCACTGGATGGATAAGAAGCACTTTTCCCCTGTCTCAGACATGAGCACATGTGAAGCCTAGTGACAAAGAAACCACCCACAATGCTTTTCTGTGCAAGTTTTGTAGTACTCACCGAACATTCAATGGGTACAAAACTAAAAGAATACTGCCTAGGGATAATACCAGATGGGAGACTTAGGAAAAAGAGCAATAGATAGAGGACACTGGTCATCTATGGAAAAGACAAGGTTAAGTCAAATAGGTTTTAACCTGGATACTTGTAAACACTGTTTGAGGCCCAGGTATAAAACTTTCTGAGGGTTGGCAGGATATACATATTCTTGTTATTGTTAAATCTCATCACAAAATTTTGTTGGTAAAATATTTAAACACTAAATTACAACATAGAAAAAAATTACACGTTTGCCTACATTCTAACATGGAAAAATGAGAGCATATTTACAGATTGGGCCACAGGAAACCAAGCAACACAGTTACAAACATGAGACCTCCAGAGACATAGGGATCAGTGGCCAGAATACAAACTGGTTATCAGGAAGAGTGCAGGTTAGCTGGGCATGGTGGCACAGGCCAGTATTCCCATTACTCAGGAGGTCAAGGCAGGAAGATTTCTGAGTTTGAGTCCAGTCTGGGCTACATAGTGAGTTGAAGTCCAGCCTGAACTACTTAGTGAGACCCTGTCTCAAAAAACCCAAAACAGGGTTAAAAAAAAAAAAGAGGTGGGGCAAGTGCAGGTCAGAAAGACTGAGAAAGGACAGATATCTGAGCTGATTAATGCCTAGACAGCCTACTTAGGATGAAAAAACCCTAAATAACTCTGAGAGGAGAGGCTTTCATGTTCATGCTGGTGAAGACATGGTATAAAGAAACAAGAGGAGACGCAAAGCAGTATTGTGCAATATTGTTCCACATAAGTGAGGACTCCTGCAGACGATGGCGGAACTCTCAATGGTGCACCAAATATCTTGAAAGAGTGAAGAAAGAAGTCTGGCCTGAGAAACTGTAGAGGTTACAGGGAGCTCACAGTGAATATTTGCTTCCATCAAAAGACACTAGGTAGTTAAGGTATCTGTCAGATCCAAGGCTGTGAACCCCTAGACTCTTGATCAAACTACTTTCAATTGGAACACAAATGGCCAGAGCTTTGAGGGTTAATATTGTCACTAAAGTGTTAGGCGTGGTGATGCATACTTGTAACCCTAGCACTCCAGAGGCTGAGGCAGGAGGATGGAGAAGAATTGCATTAAAGTTTAGGCCAGCCTGGGTACAGAGTGAGTTCAAGGCCAGCCATAATTACAGAATGAAACCATGTCTCAAAAAACCAATATATACCCTATGACGAATTCGATCATAATGTACATCTAAATTGTCCCAATAAAATTGAAAAAATATAATATATTTTTTTTCACTGAAAATGAAGGTTTCCATTTTCTATTTCACTTAGGACACAGAAAGGAATGTATCCTCTTCAACAACAAAAACCCAACTAACTTAAAATCCACCATCCTTGAAGACTAGTGCAACACACTGTCTCCAAACTGAAAAACAAAGAGGAAGACTGACAAAAGGGTAAATTAAATTACTCTGAAGAATCTCAGGAGAAGGACAGAAAAAGGACAGAAAATACTGTCCTCACAAACAAAGATGACAGAAGTTTGAAGGTAATAGCTTTTGGTAAGAGGCAGAAATGACCTGAAATTTTGTGAATTTTTCCTCCAAAAGCACTTATCAGAGCCTCATAGTGATAATCACAGAAAAATTACTTCATTCTTCTTTGTGGCAGGGTGAGGAAAACAACTAGGTGCTTAAATTAATTCTTTCTAGGAAAAAAAGTATTTACACAAAGCCTAAACCACTAGGCTATTTCTGCACCTAAAGACATAGCAGCGAGGGAAAAATACAATTTTAACCAATCTACCTCCCTCAACACTGAAAAAAGAGGATATGATTCTGACTTTCACCTCATTCGACTACTCATATATTCACTTAGGAGCAACAAACAACAAACAAAACCCAAAGAATACTGAGGAAGGGGGAGTTATGGCTTAGAAATGAAAAAGAATGAATTGAGGAAACAGTATTTGCAAAGGGTCAATTAATTATCTACATAACAGCAATCGGGCAACTGTGTGCCTGAGGGGAAAAGGGGTAGAGGCAACAAAGAGAACCAAGGGACAACAGGAGAAGGCTGTTTGCATCAAATAATCAAAACAAACATTTAACATTATCTGAAAGCCATACAGAAGTTATGCAAGGGTAGAAAACACCTGAAATCCTGAAATGAATTTATAAGTATTGATTCTATGTGTATTAACCAATAAATTATGTTCAAATTGCTAACCTCAACAATCTGGGTTGGTAAAGCTACTGTCATGTAAAATGAGCGACTTAACCAGGTGGTGCAAAATACTTGTGAATATGCTAACATGCAGAAATGTATCTGAAACAACAGTTTTATTTCAAAGTGAAATAAAACTTCAGTAAATTTGAGAAGTTGTAAACAGATATTTCTAACATGGAAAATTAGAAAAAAATTAGTTCCAAGGCCTACAGGATATCCCATCAACAGATAATTCAATCAAACAAACTGCTCAATTAAAATAAGCATAAAGAAAAAAACTGAAAAGTTTAAAGAAAGTAACCAGAAGTAAGGCAAATAGAAACTAATAATAAGCATACTTTCTTTATGTGATATTTGCATCAACAATTAAAAGACAGTGTCAAAGTAGATAAGAAAATAAGATTCAATGTATATTAAGTCAGAAAAAAAATCCATTTTCCATAAGGGGAAATGATAGATACATGTACTGTTTAAAATATTTAGAAATTTATATGGGCAAGGGAAATTCACTCAAGACACTCCTTAAACACTTCTGTGAAATGGTTGTATCTTTTTAATTTACTATGGAAAATTAACACAGCATTCAATTTGAAGCATTTTCAGTACAAAAAGTTTGTGAGATAAAATGTCTGATCAGTTTTAACACCTGACCGTATGTAAATTGTTCAGTGCAACAGGCCTTAAATTATTAATGTAGTCAATTTCCATTTGTTAACAAAAAAGTACACAAATATTTTAAATGTATAACATATATAGGATAAGCCTAATAACAAAATAAATACAAAGTTCTAAGAAAGCATACACTAGTCTAGCATTGATTTAACAAAACCTGGAGCTAAATTAATCTGATACTATTCAATCTGTTCCTAAAGAAAAGAAGGATTACACTGACATCATGATGTAGTAGGTAGTTCTCCAACAAAAACTAACAATTCTTCCTATGTACTTCACTAAAAAGAACTTTAAATATTGATAGGTCTTCCACTACCTCAGCAGCTATTATGTATAGTAGCTGCCCTCTTCCTATGGTGCCTTGCCCCTCCCCTGGGTGATGTCATGCCAAGATGGTTGCTCC